CGCTGTGTATGATTAAGTAAATTCCCAACAAGTAGAACATAAAACTTTCTGCACAAGTGAAATTTCCAACCCGAGTAGTTGTTTGGTAAAAATAAAAAAAGTAAAAGCTAGCACATTCATCCATATCACACTCTAATCTCCACACCTACTGATCATTGTATGGGCAAAATATCTTGTTCTGTATTTTCGTGGTATGGTTATTAATTCATGATCCCTGGTTGATCCCTTGCTCTCAAGTTCGAGTATTTGTGAGGCGGGATAAATCATCCAGCTATTGTGACTAAAAACTTGAGAAGTTGAGACACTAAGGATATTAATTTCCCATTATGAATCCATTAGAAGAACTAATTAACAATATTCCATTCAAGTTGAAGACAAAAAATGAAAAAGAGAGAGCCTCTTTGACGTGGGGTGATGCAACTACTTTTTTTCGAAAGCTATACTTCCGAGGAATGGCGCAATCTAGCTCTCTATGACCCAAGATCGTTCCTGGGAACCCACACAAAGCACTATTCGTCTAGGCCTTTATTTCTAAGTATTTCTAATTTTATGTAGAATGGAGTCTACTTAGTCAACGTCTCAATATTACCGTCGTCTTCTCTGTCTTCCTCAAAACTCTACCCGACCTCCCTTTTCCACCCCTCCCCTGCCGTCTGGTAACATAAAATCCGACCGACACCGGTTCAATATGAAAACACTAATAACTTCGGGTACTCCTCTTAACAGGGTGGAAACAAAGATTCATTACTATCTAATTCTCCAGCCAAAGGCACTAACAATTCAATAAAAATTACAGTTCAAGATCATCAATTCTAATCTCGTGTCATGGCAAGATCAAGAAACCCATGACACTAAAAGAGGAGAGAGAGAGAGAGAGAGAAGACCTACTTGAACAGAGTTTGATCGAGCTTCCCTTCTTCTTCCTAGTGTGAGATCTAGCTGATATATTCTTGGTATTATTTCGAGCCATTATGTAATAAATTATGGGTTTGATGGGGGCGGAATTGTGGAGAACTTTACACGCCTAGCAGCAGTGTGAGACACTTGGAATTTGTATTTTCCTCTGAAAAGGACATAATTTTGCACAATCTACTCTTTTTCCCGATATGGACGTTGAATTTACTATCCCGTCTTGCAAATGCACTCATTCTCACGCGACCAGCGTCGTGGCTTTGATGCATAGGATCAATTGAGATTTGTTGTCCTTGAGTCACGTTGACTGAAATTTTGACACGTCGTGTACAGTGTACTACGAGTATAAAATGATAATTTAAAAACAACCATGCTACTTGTACAAAAAAAATTTGACAAAAAAGTTGACAAACCCTCACAATGTGGGGGGGCCGCTATTTTTTATCAATTTTTTATTCACGTGGGGCCGGCAATCATGTGAGGGTTTGTCAACTTTTTTGTCGAACTTTTTTTGTACAATTAGCTTTTTTCTAATTATTTACATTCGTATATTCATTCAGAATTCACCCAATTCTTCTGTTACATCCGAGTGAGTACAATTTTTTTATCAATATAAAAATAAAGTAATGCTATATATAATCAGTATTTTGAAAGGTAAGAAAAAGTATTGTCTAAGAGTGGAGAAAGACGTCTAACTCCCTTTTCGACCACCTGATGTGGGCCTAGATCTCAAATGGCACATCTTCTATTTAATTTTTTAATTTTTCTTTTTAGTTTTTTAGAGTCATTTCTTTGACAAAATCGCTAATACGGACATAGACACTAATCATTAAATTAAATTACGTTTGAAGTTATTAATATTTACTATGACAAAGACACTTGAAATAATTGAATAGTTGTCATTAGTGGATGACATGTTATCGTTCGATGATTTGTCCACCAAAAAAAATTTTCTATTATGGGATTGGTACAAGAAAATTATGTAGGTACTTTTCTCCGAGCCGCAATTCATATTATATGGAATAGGATCACCAAGAAATAGAAAAAAAAAATTGTGTGATTGTATGTAATTATTAAGAAATTGAGTGGTTGCCATAGATAAAGAAAAGTTTCTTTTGATACGAAATATCAACACAAATGTATGTATAAAGTCAGTCACCTTGATTTGAGAGTTCCATGTGAAAAACTGAAATTAATTGTTTTCAATGGACTCAAAAGTTCAAATTAAATTAATGCGCTACCTGGATTATCTATCGATTTTAGAGAATGCAACGTGTAATTCTCATTTCTCAACTCCTTTGAGCATTTGTTTGACAAACCTTAATTGAAAATCATTTTCCCTCGTATTCATTTTCAACACGTTTTCTCAGTAAAATAATTTTGCATCCGAATTCATAACTTTCTACTATTTTTTTTAACCATATAATCTTTTGAAAGAATCATTTTTCACTTCAAATAATATCTCCCAAACAAATACTTAAATATGAAAAGTTGTTCATGTTGGGAATTTACTTAACATGCACAGCGGAAATAAAACAATTTTCAATTC